CACCCCTCTGTTCTGTGCCCCAGACTCATACACCCAACTATGAAAATGTCCAATTTCCCAAGATATCTGTATGAGTTGTCTATCAGCGGCTTGTAAAAACAAATACTATTCTGAGAATCAGGAATCTGGAAGAGACTTAGCTGGACAGTTCTGGCTCAGAGTATCTTGTGAAGTCGCAGGAAAAGATGTCGGCCTGGGCCACAGTCATCTGAAGGCTCAACTGGGGCTGGAGGATCTCCTTCCAGGCTTGCTCATTCTCATGGCTATTGTCTGCAAGCCTCAGTTCCGTGCTGGATGTGGGCAGGAGGCCTCAATCCTTTGCCACATGGACCTCCCCGTAGTGGTGCTCCCACGTCCTCCAGAGTGAGCTATCCGGGAGAGAGCAAAGATGAAGGTGTAAGTCCTTCTCTGATCTAGCCTCAGGAGTGACCATTGCTTCTGCTGGGTTCTACTGGCCACACAGACTAACCCTGACCCAAGGTGCCAATCCGTTACCCTCTGCCAATCCCTTCCCACACTGTTTCCAAAAGGTTCTTTCCACAGTTAAAACTCTTCAAAGGCTCTCTGTTTTCTTCAGAGTAAAAATTAAGCTCCTTAGCATAGGATACACAGCCACTGGTGACCCAGCTGGGGGCTGGAGGTCTTGCCCTGCTCATCTTTGCATGCCTCTTTCTAGCCAAGATGTATTTGTTCCCAGTTCCCAGAAGGTGTCAGGATAATTCACTTCTCTGAGCCTTTTCATATGCTGTTCCCTTTTTGGAATATCCCCTTCTGCTTATTTCAACTGGTTCATTCTCCAAAACTCAGCAACTTGATAGCGGGAGTGGTTTCTTGCCCTCTCCATATCTCATCTATCATGGCACCCACTGCAGAGGAGTTGTTCAACAAATGTCTACTGAATGGAAACACGAGTAGGCAGGCAATTTCTGTGTGCCTGGGGCCCTGGTGGCATGCTTGGCATACAAGTTACAGCTGGCCCACATCTTGTCACTTCCCCCACAGACTACCTTCCTGCCCAACCATTGCCCTCTGTATCAATGACAGAGTTGGGAAACCGAATTCTGATTTCTGGTTTTTGTTTTGTTTTGTTTTTTAAGGTTATTTATTTGAGAGAGAGCACAAGGGGTGGGGCAGAGGGAGAGGAAGAAGCGGACTTCCTGCTCAGCAGGGAGCCCAATGCAAGGCTCAATCTACCACCCTGAGACCATGACCTGAGCCAGGCAGACACCTAACTGACTGAGCCCCTGATTTCTGGTTTTTTTAAATTAATAACTTTATTTTAAGTAGGCTCCACACACAATTTGGGGCTTAAACTCATGACCCTGAGATCAAGAGTTGCATGCTCTACTAACTAAGCCAGGCAGGTGCCCCCAAATTCTAATTTCTATCCCACCTCATTAGCTACTAGCTCTGTGACCTCAGGAAACTCATTTATTTCCTCTGAGCCTCTAGTTTTCATCTGTAGTAAGGGTTAAAGGAGAGGATAAGATGAATTACTTAAATTAATATTTATTGAACCACATATCGTGCTATGCACTCTTAAATAAATTAGCTTGAGTGATGGTCATAATATCTCAGTGAGACAGATTTTATACCCTTTCTACAGAAGAGGAAACTGCAGCTCAGAATACTCAGGTAGGTAACATGGCCAAGGCCACAAAGCCGGAAGATTTGGGGTAAGTGTTTGCATCATAGGGAGAGTTAGAAAAAAATAGAGGAGCATCCAGGTCTCTTCCAACCCTACATGACACAGATTTTTTTTCTCTCTGCCTCTTCCTCACTTCTCAAGGATAGAGGCTCTGCCATTTCCCATCAGACCAATATTTGGTGAGCCCTGCATCTTACTTCTTGGTTCAAGTCCCCAGGGTTCCCCCAGTCTGCTCCTGTTAATTATGACAATGATCTCCAGCGTTCCTTCCACCCCTTTATTCTAAAGCATTTCGACACCTATCACATCTCACTAGATGACTGAAAAGGAACGAGTCTTCCCATTTTATAGGTGAGAAAACTGAGGTTCAAAATGACTCACCTAAAGTCAGATGGTATTGTTTATCAACAGGAGGACAATAGTCCCCATCAGAGGCTCACGTGCCCATGGAGTCAAGGGGACATGGTTCTTTTTTTTTTTTAAAGATTGTATTTATTTATTTTGAGTTACAGAGAGAGAGAAAATGAGTGAGGGGGAGGGGTAGAGGGAGAGGAAGAAGCAAATTCCCCGCTGAGCAGGGAGCCCAACGCAGGGCTGGATCCCAGGACCCTGGGATCGTGACCTGAGCCGAAGGCAGACGCTTAGCTGACTGAGCCACCCAGGTGCCCCAGTGGACATATTTCTAACTGACTGGCAAGCAGAAGAGCTGCATTATGGAACAAGAACCACTGGTATACCAGATAGACCTGGGTTCTGATCTGAGAGCCTCTGGCTACAAAACTACCACAGTTCAGGAACAAATACAAAGTACTATAGTTCAGAAAGAGTAGGTCAGTTTTAGGAGCTAATCTTTTAGTCCAGGCAGAATAGAGAGATTAAGAACTCCCTGGAGGCAGAAACTTACTTTGCCTCTGTAGACCTGGTTCCTAGCACAGATGGGGGCTTCATAAATGTTTGTTGACTTGGGGATGGGACGGGGAAGGAAGGGGGCAGAAGAGGAAACTTGAGTGAATTTAGAATCAAGACTCTGAGGGGGAGACAGCTTAGAAAGTGTGGGTCCAAGAGAGCGACTCCAGGCATTTGTGGCCCTGGTTCCTTTACTCCAAGCCACGAGGACATCCTCCAGAGGCACAGGGTGCTGTGGCTTTAAATGACTTCAGCGTGTCAATGAATCTGCTCTGCTAAAAGAGTTATCCTCTTGCCTCTGTGCTTGGCCTCCCCCTCCTCGCAGCTCCCCAAACCCTCCTCGCCGCTGTGATGGGATAATTAGATGCGAGAGCTCAGCACAGATGATGCTCCAGTTGCTTAGCAACTAATGGTTTCCATGGAGACCGCAAAGCACAGCCTTCCGAGCAGCCAGTGAGCAGCTCGGCAGGGCAGGGAGAAGACGCAACTCTCAGTTCCTCCAGAAACCTGGGGAGGGCCGGGGTGGGGAAGGGGGGCTGGAGGGAAAAGGGAGGGCTTAAAGGCACAGGGCCCTGTTATCCCTACCCTACTCTGTCCCACTCATAATTTCAGATGGGATGTGTGCTGAGGCGTGGACCCAACACAGCCCAGCCCGCAATAAACCCAGCCTCTTCTTTCTGCTCCCTGGTTTGTGACTGAAATGGGAAGAGATACCTCCCAAGCCCAAGCGTACTCGTCCTGCCAGGTTAGTGGTGGGATTTGAGGAGCACCAGGAAGATCTCCTCACCCCCAGGATGCCAGCACCTAGTGTGTTCCCTCTCTCCAAAGTTCTCCTCAATGTGCAAACGGTCCTCTTTCAGTTTGTAGAATGATGGTAGGATCCCACCAGAAAGGGGACAAAAACCAAGGCATAGGAAAAACAGAATTCAATTCTTCACCCCAAGGCAGCCTGTCCTGGGAAACTGGGGAAAAAAACACCTGCCCCTGATCTCCACCAAAGAGGACCCAGAGTGTGTGTGTGTGTGTGTGTGTGTGTGTGTGTGTGTGTGTGTGTGTACGGGGTGCAGCACAGAGCATGCGGCAATTCAAAGTCTGGGCCTCTCAGACTAGCATCGGTCAAGGTTACCTGGAAGCTCGATAGAAATGTAGACTTTCAGGCTTCACCTCAGACCCACTGAATCAGAAACTACCTCTCAGCAAGATCCTTAGTGATTCAGAGGCACAGTAAATGTGGACAAGCGCTGGTCTAAGGCCCTCCGACCCCTGTTTGGGTCCATGAGTTCTATCTTCACCGTCACCCCATGCTTGCACTCCAGCTTTGAACTCCCCCTCTCACCATGGGGGTAAGAACACGCCCCCCCCTTCCTTACAAGACCCTGGCCCTTCTCTGGGACTGGGGAAGATAGAAGGGTTCAGGGCGCAGAGACATCCATCAGGGCTCTCTCTGCAGCTCTTGGCCTCTCCTAGCAGTCTCCCTCGGAGTCTGTTCCCACATCTACAAAAGGGAGCCGGTGTTGTGGACAGCCCATGTTGGCCGTAAGGATAGGTATGTTAGCACATGCCCCGTGCCCAGAGTGGGTACTTTCTCCTCATCACTCCTCGCTTTCCACAAAAACTCGTCCCTCACTTCTGTCTGATTGAGCACAGGGGTGGGGGATGCAGTCAGAGGGGTTGTGTCTCTTTTTATTTTCTCCTACCAGGTCTCTCTCTCCTCCATTCTCAATCAGTTCAACAATGGTTGCTGATCAAGGCTGGCTGCCCATCCCTGCTGGACTGGGCTGGTGCCCACCTCTCCTGTCTCTCTGAAAGGCTTCCCTAGCATCCCTTTGCCCCTCTCTCCAGAGGAATCTGACTCCCACACGCTCCCTGGCACCAACACCCCTCTGCCTCTCCCAGAGCAGCACTGTCTGGGCCTCACTGGACAAAGTGAACTGGAACCCTTGGCTCTGCTGCCCCCATTCCCTACTACCAGCCTCAGTTTCCCTCCCATCCTTGCCCAGCCAAGGCCCTATCTGGAGCCCCTTGGCGTTCCTCTCCTCTTCTTGCACACCAGGACAATCTCAGAACTTGCTACCCTTCTGGAAGATTCCCACCATCTGTGGGGAGCAGTCCTCAACAGGCCACACTCCAGATGCACGTGCAGGCAGGAATACTCAGGCCCTAACATGTGGAAGTGCCAGGGGAAGGGGTGATTTCCACCCCCACCTTAGTTATCCTGCCCCTCTGCAGCTGACTAAGCCATCAAGATCCAGCCAGGGCATCCCCACTTCTGGCCTGAGGGCCAGTTCCCCGTCCTGAAAAACCTGTCTGGGGGGCCTGCCCTGAGGCTGTAGGGCCCGAAGGGCAGGTTGGACAGGATTCCCCTCCAGCCACTCCCACCCCAAGACAAAATCAGCCACCCCAGGGGCCTGGCCTCACTTGCCTCCAGAGGCCACAGCCTGCCAGCACCCGTTCTAGCTCCCAGCCCAGCTATGGCATCCCTGCTGCCCGTCCGGACCTTGACCTTGATCCTGATTCTGCTGACTGTCCTGGCCCTGGGGGCTTCAGGTCTCTGCCATCTCTGCTGGGGTGGGGGTAGGGACTCTGAGGCCCACGCAGGAGGCACTGTGCCCTCCAAGGCCCTCAAAGAGGAGCAGGTCTGGCCAGTTGGGGTTGGGGGGCTGGTGATGGCAGTGACCACGCATCAGTCACTGAGCCCAGGGCACACTCCTGGTCCTCTTCCAAACCCGGAAGGCAGAGAGGTGTGGGGAAGGACCCAGGCTAGGAATTGGGGTAAGGTTGGTCGCTGGCAACCCCTACTGGCACCCAGAGTCTGGCCGCTTGGTGGACAGCCCAGCTTCTGCAGCTCAAGGCTGCCACCTGGTGGTAAGACAAGCAAAGGCCTGTGTCCTGCCAACCCGAGGTAGAGTGGACGGGGAAGCAGCTTCATCCTCAGAAATGGCCCCCAGGGGTCAGGGCCAGATCTGATGGCTGGGAAGGGGATTGGGTGCCCCCACCCGGAACTCCCTCTTGGCCCCCCAGCAGACTTCAACATCTCAAGCGTCTCTGGTCTGCTGTCTCCGGCGTTAACAGAGAGCCTGCTTGTTGCCTTGCCCCCCTGTCACCTCACAGGGGGCAATGCCACATTGATGGTCCGGAGAGCCAATGACAGCCAAGGTTTGCTACTCCCTCCCAAGATGGCCCCCTGGTCCCCAGAGACCCCTACCCAGGACACCACCCGCACCCCTTCCCCTGCTCCCGCCTTCCTATCGACCCTTCTCCTGGGCCACCCATATTCTGCTGCCCTTTCTCCTTGGGGCCCCCAGAAAACACCCCTGACTTCACCCCCAATTTCCCGCCCAGTGGTGAAATCTAGCTTCGTGGTGCCTCCGTGCCGTGGGCGCAGGGAGCTGGTGAGTGTGGTGGACAGTGGGGCCGGCTTCACGGTCACCAGGCTCAGTGCGTACCAGGTGACAGACCTCGTGCCAGGAACCAAATACTAGTAGGTACCAGATTCAGGCCACCTGTTGGAGGGTGTGCAGGGAGAGAAGATGGGTCCTGACATTTGCTGGTGGGGAGGGAGCTGGTCAGCTTGGGGTAAGAAAGTGAGGGTACAGGTGAAGGGGTCAATAACGGGCCTCTGCTGGACGAGGGCATGGCTATGAAGGGGGAGGACTGGGCTCCCTCCCTCTTTCCCCAAGTCCCAGATAATCACTGAGGAGTCTCTCCTCTCTCTCCCAAACCCCACCACAAAAGCGTTTCCTACCTAGTGACGAAGGGGACATCCACTGAGTCCAGTAGAGAGATCCCAATGTCCACACTTCCTCGTAAGTAAATCAATGCCCCCCAGATCTTCCCTGGCCTTTCCACCCCATCCCCCCCCCCCCAGCTACTCCTCCCTGGGCTCCCTTAGCTTCTTTGCGTACTTGTATCCTAGCCCTGAGCCCTTGGCCTTTTGACTGCCTGTTGACTCATCTCATAAACTAAAGCTTCCATGTGGGTAGGGATTGTGTCCAATTAATTTCTGTGTCCTCAGTGACCAACACAGGAGATGCTTCATAAATGTTTACGCAATGGATGTGTGGATCAGTTGATTGGTTGGATGAATAAATGCATGAAGGACAGCTGGATGAGCCAGAGAGCCTTGGGTCAGGACAAGGGCTCCTCCTGCCCACCAAGGCCTCCCCACTCTCTCTTCCGACAGGAAGGAAGGTGGAATCCATTGGGCTGGGAATGGCCCGGACGGGGGGCATGGTGGTCATCACAGTGCTGCTCTCTGTCGCCATGCTCCTGCTGGTTCTGGGCTTCATCATCGCCCTGGCCCTGGGTGCCCAGAAGTGAGGAGGCCAGTGCCAGGCAGCAGGCCTCCAGGAGGTCCAGGATGCTGTCCATTTGCCCAGGCCACGGCTTTGCCCTGTGTGCCTGCCTCCTCTCCTGAAAAGACTGCCTGCTCCCAGGCCTCAACCGTGGCTTCCTCAGGGCCTTCACCTCTCCTCGCTGCCCCCTCTCACCAGAGCCCTGTCCTCCCTCTGCCCTCCCCTGGGTTCCCGGTGCCTCGCCTCCCGATACTCCCCTATAATCCCCTCAGCCCACTCCTGTCAGAACGGACGCTCCTCCCACTTCACCTCTTTAATCACCACCGCCCCCCCCAATAATTCACTCTTCCCTCAGTGACAGAAATCCCCTCAATAAAGTCTGATGCCCCATCTGCCCTGTTTCCCTTCCATGGGCTCCACCTGGGCGGGAACAGACTCCACGTCAGGCAGCAGGCGCTCTAGTCCCCTTCCGGTCCCACAACCCAGAGCTGCTTCTCTCAGGAGGCAGGAAGGGGCTGGATGAGATCAGAAGTCGGGAGTCAGGAGTTCAGACCCCCTGGCCTGTGGGTTTTGCACCGCCCCGCAGCAAGCCGCCCAGCCAGGGCATGGTGCGCCATGTGGGCAGGGCTGGAGGCCGGAGGGTCCCGGGGTGTTGGCGGAGCAAAGGGAAATGCTGGGGGAAGGAGTACAGCTCTGACTGGGGACCAAGAGGGCCACCAGGGTGGGACCCTGGACAGCAGGCTGGGGGTGGGAGAAGTGAATAGGCTCAGGGGGCCTAGGAGGAGGGAGCAGAAGTGGAAGAACCCTGGGTGGGGGAGGACAAGGGGGGTACAGTCTGGTAACTGAGGGAGAAGAGCCGGAGTGGCCTGCTTTCCGGTACACATCCCTTACAAGGACCAGTGACCTTTGCATTGCTCTTAGGGGAAATACCAGGATCTTTAAGGCAACCTTCAAGACTAGCCCTGGTCTTTCTCCTAACGGCCCCTCTGTTCTCACTGTGTTCCCTCCAATATCCTGTGTTCCCTCCTCCCTCGGGGCCTTTGCACAGACTATTCCATATGCCTGGCTTGCTCTTTTGACTGCCCCCATCCCCACCCCACTCCTATTTGCACAGGTAACCCACCTTCTTCAGGGAAGCCTCGGACCGCCATCCCCTCACTAGGTTCCCCTACCCTGTCTTTCATAGCATTACTATGGTTTATAATTATATGTTTATATGACTCTTCAGTTGTCTCCCACAGCAGACTGTATGTTCCCCAAGAGCAGTCATTTTGTTCCCAAGGGCCTACAGCACCTGTGCTCCACAGTGCCTGGGACATAGTAGGTACTCAGTAAATACTTGTTGAATAAGTGAACAAATGAACGAATGAATGAATTAACAAGGCCCTGAAGAGAAGGGGGACTGGGAAGTCGCCAAAAATTGTGAAAACAATAAAAAACAACAAACACAAGATGCTGGAACAATGGTCTTAACCACCCCCCTTTTTTTTTATAAAGATTTTATTTATTTATTTGAGAGAGCGAGAATGAGAGAGAGAGAGAGAGCACATGAGAGGGGGGAGGGTCAGAGGGAGAAGCAGACTCCCCGCTGAGCAGCAGGGAGCCCGATGCGGGACTTGATCCTGGGACTCCAGGATCATGACCTGAGCCGAAGGCAGTCGCCCAACCAACTGAGCCACCCAAGTGCCCAGCCACCCCTTTCTAGAGCAACCCAAGACCCTGGGACGGGGAGGCAGTGGAAGAGAAGAACAACAGTATTTATTCATTCCACAAACATTAACTGAGCATTTATTACATGCCAGGTGCTACTAGAAGTGCTAGGAATAAAATGTGGAAAGACATTGTTCCTCCTTCATGGAGTTTATGTGGAACTTAATGCAAGAGACAGATCCCCAAAATGCGAACAAGTAAATAAGTTAAATAAAAAATGTGATAAGTGTGGGGCACCTGGGTGGCTCGGTCAGTTAAACGTCTGCCTTCAGCTCAGGTCATGATCTCAGGGTCCTGGGATCGAGCCCCACATCAGTGGGGAGTCTGCTTCTTCCTCTTCCCTCTGCCCCTCCTCACACCCCACTTGTGCTTTCTCTCCCTCTCTCAAATAAATAAAATCTTGTAAAAATGTGGTAAGTGCTATGAAAAATGAGGGAGGAGGTGAACACTGGGACCTTCTTTGTTTGGGTCGGCCTAACAGAGCTGAGGCCTGAAGTCAGGAGAGATGGGCAGGGAGGGTGTGCCCTGCAGAGAGAATGGTCCAACCTGTGCCCCCCACCCTAACTGCACCAGCCAAGGGGGGTTTGGGGGCCCAACCTTACGGTGGGGGAAGAGCATCGGACTGGGAGCCAAACTCCACTATACACTGGATTCATCTAAGGGGCTTAAAAAAAGCCCCAACACCTAGGCCATACCCTATACTAGAATCAGAATGACTGGGGTGGCAGCCTGACATCAGTATTCTTTCAAGATCAGGAGGTTCCAATGCTCAACAAAGTTTGGAACTTACTGATATAAACATTTTTTAAATTGTGGTGAAATATACATAACCTGAAATTTACTATTTTAACCATTTCTGTTAAGTTCAGTAGCATTAAATACATTGACCTTGCTGGGCACCCGCCACCACTATCCATCTCCAGAACTTTTTCAGTATCCCAAAGAGAAATTCTGTACCCGTTCCCTCCTCCCCACAACCCTCATCAACCACCATTCTACTTTCTGTCTCTATGCATTTGGCTCTTCTAGGTATCTCATTAAAGTGGAATCACAATTTGTCCTTTTGTGTCTGGTTTATTTCACTTAGCATAATATTTCCAAGGTTCATCCGTGTTGTAGCCTGTGTCCGAGTTTTATTCTTTTTTTTTTCAAGATTTTATTTATTTATTTGACAGAGAGAGAGAGTTAGTGAGAGAAGGAACACAAGCAGGGGGAGCGGGAGAGGGAGAAGCAGGCTTCCCGCGGAGCAGGGAGCCCGATGCGGGGCTCGATCCCCGGACCCTGGGATCATGACCTGAGCCGAAGGCAGACACTTAAAGACCGAGCCACCCAGGTGCCCTGAGTTTTATTCATTTTTAAGGCTAAATAATATGCCATTATATGTAGAGGCCACATTTTGTTTATGCATTCACCTGCTGATGGACATTTGGGTTGTTTCCAACACATTTTAGTTATTGGGAATAGTGTTGCTCCATGGGTGCACAAATATCTGTTTAGGTCTGTGCTCTCAGTTTTTTTGGGGTGTATACCCAGACATGGAATGGCTGGATCATATGGTAATTCTTTTTTTTTTTTTTTAAGATTTTATTTATTTGACATAGAGAGCGAGCGAGCGAGAGGGAGAAGGGGAGCACAAGCAGGGGCAGAGGGAGGGGGAGAAGCAGACCCCCCGCCGAGCAGGGAGCCTGACATGGGGCTCGATCCCTGGGCCCTGGGATCAAGACCTGAGCCGAAGGCAGACGTTTAAACGACTGAACCACCCAGACGCTCCTGGATCATATGGTAATTCTATGTTTAATTTTTCTTAAGATTTTATTTATTTACTTGACAGAGAGAGAGAGAACAAGCACACAAGCAGGGGGAGCAGCAGAGAGAGAGGAAGAAGCGGGTTCCCCGCTGAGCAGGGACCCCCCCCCCCGAAGCCAGGTTCAATCCCAGGACCCTGGGATCATGCAAAGGCAGACACCTAACCGACTGAGCCACAAAGACGCCCTTATGTTTACTTTTTTGAGGAGCCCCTGTACTTTTTTCCATGGGGACTGAACCATTTCACATTCTCACAGGCACTGCACAAGGGTTCTAATTTCTTCATATCCTCATCAACAGTTGTTATTTCCTGTGTTTTGTTTGTTTTTATAATAGCCATCCCAATGGATGTGAAGTATTTTCTTATGGTTTTCATTTGCATTTCCCTAATGATTAGTGATGTTGAGAATCTTTTCATGTGGCTATTGGACCTTTGTATATCTTCTTTGGAGAAATGTCATTCAATGTCTTTGCCCATTTTTAAATCATATGTGTGTGTGAGAGTTGTAGTTCTTTATATATTATGGATAGTAATCCCTTATCAGATATATTACTTATATGATAGAAACATTCTTAAATGGTAGACTAATTTGAAAAGGTCTATTAAAGAGTAGATGCATTACAATAACTTTTTTTTTAACAAAACAAAAATGAAACACCCATATGGAAAAATTTTGGAAGCATATACATCAAAATGTAATCAATTATTATCTCTGAGTTGATACAAAGAATGAGTTTGGCTTTATTGTTTTTCCTTTAGTGTTTTCTATATTTCCACGTTTTCTGCACTGAACATGTATTATTTTTTCAATTTAAAAATTTTTTAAAAGATTTATTCATTTATGAGAGCGACAGAGAGCACGTGTGCACGTCTGCCGGCAAGCTGGGGGAGGGGCAGGGGGAGAGGGACAAGCAGACTCCCCGCTGAGGAGGGAACCCAGCATGGGGCTCAATCCCAGGACCTGAGGTCACGACCTAAGCTGATGGCAGACGCTTAACCGACTGAGCCACGCAGGTGCCCCCCCTTATTTTATTTTTTTAAGTAATCTCCAGGGGCATCTGGGTGGCTCAAGCCCCACATCAGGCTCCCTGCTCGGCAGGAAGCCTGCTTCTCCCTCTCCCACTCCCCCTGCTTATGTTCCCTCTCTCGCTGTCTCTTTCTGTCAAATAAATAAAATCTTTAAAATAAATAAATAAGTAATCTCCACACCCAAGGTGAGGCTCAAACTCACAACCCCAAGATCAAGAGTTTCATGCTGTACCCACTGAGCCAGCCAGGCACCCTGAACATAAATTATTTTTACAATTAGAGAAATTAGCATTAAAATTACTATTATTGGTATTAAAGGTAGAGTCCTAGTGAATTTTTAAAAGGGAAGCTGTTGTTTTCACAGTAGTTAAAACATTTATTGAGGGCCTCCTATATGCTAGGGACTCTCAAAGGTTCTGGGCTATTAGACAAGCCACAGGCAGCTCAGCACAGGGTGCATAGGCTTCAATAGGGAACCCAGGATGCACAGAGGAACCAAAGGGGGCTAGCTCACCCACTGGCCTAATCTGGGACAATTTTAGAATTATAGAATTTTATAATAATTATAATAAGTTGTTATAATTAATAATTACAAATAATCCACTCTAAGAATCCTTCGGGTCCATACTAACAATAAACAAACAAATATGAGATAAGGGGTGCCTGACTGGCTCAGGCGGTGGAGCATTCAACTCTTGACCTCAAGGTTGTAAGTTTGAGCCCCACGTTGGGTGTCGATGTTACTTAAAAATAAAATCTCTACCTCTTGGAGTTAAAAAATCAATAAATAGGGGGGTCTGGGTGGCTCAGTCCGTTAAGTGTCTGCCTCCAGCTCAGGTCATGATCTTGGGGTTCTGGGATGGAGCCCCTGTGCCGGCTGGCTCCCTGCTCAGCGGGGAGTCTGCTTCTCCTTCTCCCTCTACCCCTTCCCCCAACTCATGCTCTCCCTCTCTCTCAAATAAATAAAATCTTTAAAATAAGTAAATAAATAATAGAATAAAATAAAATCTTTTTTAAAAATAGGGGCACCTGGGTGGTGCAGTTAAGCCTCCAACTCTTGGTTTCAGCTCAGGTCATGATCTTATGGTCCTAGAATCAGGCTCTACATCAGGCTCCTCGCTCAGCAGGGAGTCTGCTTAGGATCCTCTCTCCTTCTCCTTCTGCCCCTCCCACTTGTGATCTCTCTCTCTCAAAATAAATAAATAAATCTTAAAAAATATACATGAGATACAGAAAAGCTCTTCTTGACAATAGAATGTCAATTAAATGGGAAAGGAATGATAGATTTAGAGAGATCATCATTTTACACCCATCCTAGTAATGATTGATTCAGGCAAGAATCATAAATGGATACTAGAATTAATGGGCCTAAACTTGATGAGGAATAGGATTTTTTTTTTAATTTTAAACTTTTTTTCAGGAACAGGATTTTTATTTTTATTTTTTAAAAGATTTTATTTATTTATTTGACAGAGAGAGTGAGAGAGCACAAGCAGGGGGAGCAGCAGAAGGACAGGGAGAAACAGGCTCCTCGCCGAGCTGGGAGCTCGACACAGGACTCAATCCCGGGACCCTGGGATCATGACCTGAGCCGAAGGCAGACGCCCAACCATCTGAGTCACCCAGGTACCCTTATTTATTTTTTTAAATGAAGTTTTATTTATTTAAGTAATACCTACACCCAAGGTGGGGCTTGAACTCACAATCCTGAGATCAAGAGTCACATGCTCCACTGACTGAGCCAGCCAGGTGCCCTGAGGAACAGGATTCTAGATCAAAGTATCTCCTCACAAATTACTTACTAATTACAAAAGAGGAAGAGAGAGGGGAAAAAAAGGTAACTACCCTCGAGAAACCTGGTGGATACCACTAAACCAAGTGATTGAAATTAACATCACTAATAATGAGACACGCTGACATCGTGTGCCTCTTGATGTGAATTACTGAGAAGGAAGCAACATCACTCGTATGATATTCTTGCCCAAAATGCACAAGTCTAATTATGAGGAAACATCAGACAAACCTAAACTAAGGGACATTCTACAAAATAAATGGCCTGTATTCTTCCCAAAATGTCAATGGTATGAAAGATTAAAAAGGCTGAGAAATTGCTTGGGATGAAAGGAGAGCAAAAGACTTGAAGATGAAATGCACTGTGTGAGCCTGACCCGGATCCTAGACCAGAGAGCAAATTTATATAAAGGACGTCATTGGGACAATTAGTGAAATTTGAATAGGATCTGTATGTTTAATATAGTATTGAGTCAATGTTAAATTTTCTGATTTTGATAATGGTCTCATTTCTGGTTTTCTGGTTATATATGACATTATCCCTGTTTTTAGGAAATACCCAGTGAAGTATTTATGGGTAAAGGGTATTACATCTGCAAATTACTCTTAGATAGTTCAGAAAAATAACAATAAATGTCTTATATAGAGAGAAAAATTAAAATGTGATAAAATGTTAATATTTGGTGTCATTGGTGAATTATAGGATTCAGGTATACAGGAATTTTTATACTATTCTTGGGATTTTTCTGTAAATTTGAAATGATTAAAAACCAAATTTTAGGGCACCTGGGTGGCTCAACCGGTTAAGTGCCTGCCTTCCGCTTAAGTCATGATCCCAGGGCCCTGGGATGGAGTCCTGAGTTGGGCTCCCTGCTCAGCAGGGAGTCCGCTTCTCCCTCTGCCCCGCCCCCCACACCCCGTGTGCACTCTCTCTCTCTCGCTCTCCTCTCTCTCAAATGAATAAAATTTTTAAAAACCAAATTAAAAAACAAAACACTCTCCTGGGACTCCTGGGTGGCTCAGTAGGTTAAGTGTCTGCCTTCGGCTCAGGTCATGGTGCAAGAATCTTAGGATCGAGTTCCCTATCAGGCTCCTTGCTCAGTGGGGAGCTTGCTTCTTCCTCTGCCTGCAGCTCCCCCCGCTTGTGCTCTCTCTCTCTGACAAATAAATAAATACAGTCTTTATTTTTTATTTATTTTTTAAGATTGTATTTATTTATTTGAGAGAGAGAGAGTGCCCTAGCACGAGTTGGGGGGAGAAGCAGAAGTAGACTCCTGGCTGACCAAGGAGCCATGATCCCAGGACTCTGGGATTATGCCCGCCGCCGAAGGCAGACGCTTAACCATCTGAGCCACCCAGGTGCCCCTAAAAAAAATCTTAAAAAAAAACCCACCCCCCAATCCTATCTTCACCAAGTACTACGGGTAAGATCTTGGATAAGCCATGAAATCTACCAGAACCTCCAGAAAGTAGCTATTAATACTATCATGGGATCATTCTTCAGTGGTGGTGGTAGAGAAACTTACTAAACACAAGCAGAGCTTTGTGCAAATGCAGAGGGGAAAGAGGGCCTGGGATCCCTCCCTTCGGGACCCTCAGGGGCCCCAAGCCCCAATATCAAAGTGTGAGGGGTTGAGGAGAGAGGTCGCAGAGAGTAGCCGGTGGAGGCCAGAGGCGATTAAAGGCGTCAAATTGGGGACTCTCCACACCTGAGCTGGCGCCAACTAACCGGATCCGAGCCCGAGCCCGGGACTTTGAGGAAGTGGTGCGAGGCCTCAGCCTCAGTGTCTCCGAGTCTCCCACCCCCTGCCGGGCGACCTCTCCTCTCCCTGAAGGTGGACCTGAAACTCCAACACCTCGACCTCTGGGCCAGCCTCCATGGCCAGGTCCCGGGCTTGCTGGACTGGGACATGGGCAATGAGTCCTTTCTGGCCTTCACCACGGCGCACCTGCCCCTGGCGGAGCAGAACCGTGAGTGTCCGGCGCTGTGGGGGAGGGGCGTGGCGGGCGGCAGGTGGGGTCCTCGCCCGGCGCTGGGGCGCTCGCCCCCTCCCTGGCCCCCAGCCCCCCACCTCGGGTCCCGCCGGCGAGCCTGGAGCTGGCTGCGGTTTCGGGGCCCGCGCCCCTTGGCCGGGCCAGCGCCCCCTCCCCGCCCCCACCCCGCTCCCACCCCGCGAGGGGGCAAGGCAGGCCTCCACCGAGAGCCCCCTGCGGGCAGCGGGTCCGGCCCCAGCATCCGTCCGCCTGCTGCCTGCCACTTCCGCCCCACTGCCCGCTGAGTCCCAGAACCTTCTAGGCCTCGCCGTGGCCCTTTTCCATGGCGCTTACCGCCATTTGGCACACCACGCGTTTCACTCGTTCTGTTTTTTAAAAAAGTTAAGTTTTGTTCAAGGCTGTAGCCCCCTCTTAGTATGTTGGCTGACACCTAGAGGTGCTCAATATTTGCTGAAGGGATGGGTGACCGTCGTGGTCTTTAAAAAGAGGACTTTTTCTTGGGACCTCAAGGGCAGAGAGTGGAGGTGATCACCGCCTAGTTCGTGGTACATTATTGTCATCTGTTCCCGCAAGGTGCTTAGATTAACCCATTGTCCCCCTTCAATTCACCCCCCACGCCCCCACACGACCTTCCCTCACCTCCCACACTCCCCTGTATCTACCCTAATTGTTTTAATGTCATTAGATAGGTGTATCTTTGAGAACTATTTAACGTTATTTTATGTTTATAGATGACCTTAATTTACTAAATGCTCATTGCTTTTTTTTTTTGCCTACTCGCGTTGTTTTTTTTTTTTTTAAAGATTTTATTTATTTATTTGAGACAGAGAGAGAGCATGAGGGGGAGGAGAGTCAGAGGGGGAAGCAGACTCCCCTGCTGAGCAGGGAGCTGGATGTGGGACTTGATCCCTGGACTCCAGGATCATGACCTGAGCTGAAGGCAGTCCCTTAACCAAGCCACCCAGGCGCCCCTGCCTACTCGCATTGTTTTTGAGAGCTACTCTGGTTGCTGAATGAAGATCTGGTTCATTATTTCTTTTTTTTTTTTAAAGATTTTATTTATTTATTTGAGAGAGAGAGAATGAGAGGGAAGGGGGTCAGAGGGAGAAGCAGACCCCCCCCACCCCTCGCTGAGCAGGGAGCCCGATATGGGACTCGATCCTGAGACTCCAGGATCATGACCTGGGCCGAAGGCCATCGCTTAACCAACTGAGCCACCCAGGCGCCCTGGTTCATTATTTCTGATGGCTGGGTGGTATTCTATCATCTGCATATACTACCTTTTGCATTTTAGTTCTCCTTACTAATGGAGACCTACATTGTCTCCAACTCTCTGCCACCATAAGTAATGCTAATGAATTCCAGTATCTTTGTTGATTAAGAAATATTTATTGAGCACCTCCAATTTGCCAGGCGATGTTCTAGACCCTGGTAATACATAATGAACAAAACAGAAAAGTCTAAATGGAAGTTACATTCTACTGGGGGCAGACAGTCCACATAAAAAATATATATATGGGGGCACCTGGGTGGCTCAGATGGTTGAGCGTCTGCCTTCGGCTCAGGTCATGATCCCAGGGTCCTGGGATCGAGCCCCGCATCGGGCTCCCTGCTAGGCGGGGAGCCTGCTTCTCCCTCTGCCTCTGCCTCTCTCTCTCTCTCTCTCTCTCTGACTCTCATGAATAAATAAATAAAACATTAAAAAATATATATATATATGGTATGTTATAAGGTGACAACTAAGACAGGGAAAAAGGACACCGTCAGAGGGTTCAGGAATGGTGGTGGTTGTGGGTTGAGGTGGTGGCAGCCACAGTTTTAAATAGGGTCATCAGGTTGGGCTTCCTTGGGAACATAATATTGGAGGAAAGAGTTGAAGGGGGTGAGACAGTGAGCAAGAGGATATTTAGAGGAAAAGTTTCTCAGGCAGAAGAAATAGGGCAAAATTCCTAAGGAGGGAATATGCCTGGGGTGTTTGAGGCACAGGAAAGAGGCCAGCAAAGCTGGATCAGAGTTAAATACAGAGGGAAGTTCACAGGGTGTGGAGCAGAGATCCGGAAGAGCCCATGTGCCACTTTAAGGACCTTGGGGTTGACTTTCAGTAAGATGTGGCATGGTTGAAAGGTTTTGAGCAGAGGAGTGACATGATTCAGGCTTCCCGAGGGTGTGAGCCGTGTGGTTGCATAGGGGGCTGGTACTTGGTTCGATGTTCTGCTATCACTGTCTTGAGGTTTTTAATTTTTTTCAACTTTTTTTAAAGATTTTATTTATTTGACAGACAGCGAGAGAGGGAACACAAGCAGGGGGAGTGGGAGAGGGAGAAGCAGGATCCCCACTGAGCAGGGAGCCCGATGCAGGGCTCGATCCCAGGACCCTGGGATCACGACCTGAGCCGAAGGCAGACGCTTAATGACTGAGCCACCCAGGCACCCCAGAGATTTTTAATTTTTGAACAAGGAACCCTTCATTTTCATTTTGCACTGGGCCCTGCAAATTATGTAACTAATCCTGCATGATCTATATTCTGAAAAGATCACTGTGGCTGCTGTGTTGAAAGTACACTGTAAATATGGAGCTAAGAAGCCAGTAGACTAAGCTACTACTGTAATCCAGACAAGAGATGGTGGTAGGCTGGAGGGTCAGGGTTGTGGCCGAGAAAGCAGAACCATCTGGGTTCGTTGATGGATTTGGATGTATAGTGTAAGAAAGAGAGATTAGAACATGATTCCTCCAAAGTTTTGGCTGATTAAGTAAAAGGATGGAGTGGCCTCATGCTGGGACAGGGGAAGCTTCTGGTAGGACAGATTTAGGGAGGAAGATCAGGAATTCTGTTTGGGACATGCTGAGTTTGGCATACTTTTTAGATCTCCAAGTAAAAATGTTGAGTAAGCAGGAGGATATATAAGTCTGGAGTACTGGAGGGAGGTGTATTTTGAGAGTCTTTGGTATGTGGGTAGCATTTAAGGAGTGAGAAGAAGAGAAGAGAGAAGAACCAAGCATGAGCCCTGGGGACATTCCTTTGTAAAGATACTGGAGAGAAGAGAGATAACCAGCCAAAATTAAGGAAAGGACCACTGAGAATCAAAACCAAGAGATCGTGGTCTCCTAGAAGCAAGTGAAGAAAATGTGTCAAGGAAGGAGTGGTCAGATGAGAGGACTATCCCCTGTGAGGTCAGGTGTGAGGTAGACCGACACCTGGATTTAGTACAGCAGACATCATTGGCGACCATGATGATGGTGGTTTGGGTGGGGTGGTAGAGATGAAAGCCTGATTGGCAAGGGCTCAAGGGTGGTTCTTTCTAGGAGTTCTGCCTCAAAGGAAAGCAAAAACATGGTGCAATGGCCTGGCACAGAAAATGGGGACAAAAGAAGGTCTTTTCGATAAGATGAGAGACTTAACATCATACTTGAATGCTGATGAGAATAATCCAACAGAAACACAAGTAACAGTAAATAGAGGAGTGGTTGGTTGAACCAACATTGTCCTTGAGAAGGCATGAGAGCATCAGTGCCAGGGAGGGAGGGAGGGAGACCGACAGCAGCACTATCCTTTGATCCCCCTGAGATCACCAACCTGTTGACCCTGTTACTTTCACTGTTCTCCATCCCTGGAGAGTCTCCCCTCTTTAACCTGGAATCCCATGGTCAAACGTGTTCTCTCTTGCAAACACTATCAATTCCTTTGACCGTCGCTGGCTTTGGAGCACTTGCTTGGCCAAACCACAACCCTGAATAAATCCAGGTCTACCAAAGTGTACTCCAAAGCCATGGATCAATGGATTGGTGATATCATGGTATCCAAGGCTAGTTGGGAGGGAGTTAGTTGGAAAGATGGGTGAAGTATTGTTTTTTTAAGTTTGTTTCTTTGTTTGTTGAATCAATCAATCTCTACATCTAAATGATCCTAACAAGGAAGATTAGCATAAAAGTTCCTGTATTGACTTGAATAGACACACCCAGGAGTAGACTGTCACGTGTAGCGATCCATCCTTCAGTATGGAAGCACCAGTGGCTGTTCAGATCTGCAATGTGAGGAAGGATTCTATTTCCCTGCATCTTTGTCAACACTTGGTTTAATCTGTTTTTATAATTCTTGTCAGTTTGATGTAAAGTGTTATCTCATTATTTTATCGTGTTCTTATTACTGGTTAGGCTGAGAGCATCTTGTTAGTAATTCAGATATCCCTTCCTTGTGAATACTGATTCATATCTTTTGCCCATTTATAGGTTTGTTAGCTCCTACAACATCAAAAAGTGAAAGGTTGTCTATCTAGTAGAAGAGCTAAGAACTTTATGAGTTGAAAATTTCTTTTTTGGCTTATTTTATTGTCTAGTGATGTTTTTTGTTTTTCGTGGTTTTACTATGCAGAACATTTTAATGTTTAGGTATTATGATATCTGCATAAAATGTATGGATTAATTTGAGGGCAGTTGGTGTCTTTATAATATGTATCATGTCTTCATTTATTCAGAACTTTTATGTCCTTAAATAGTGATTGCATCTTTTTCCCATGAAGGTCTGGTTCATTCTTTGATGGATTAACTCCTAGATAATTTATTTATTTATTTTAAAAGATTTTATTTATTTGACAGAGACACAGCGAGAGAAGGAACACAAGCAGGGGGAGTGGGAGAGGGAGAAGCAGGCTCCCTGCAGAGCAGGGAGCCCGACGCGGAGCTCAATCCCAGGACCCTGGGATCATGACCTGAGCCGAAGGCAGACGCCTAACGACTGAGCCACCCAGGCGCCCCAACTCCTAGATAATTTATAATTTTGATTGCTACTGTAACCAAATAACATAATTTTTATTATTATTTATTATTATTATTTATTATTAGTATATTTTCCAGTTTCTTCATGCTACTGTAGAGGAACAGTGTTTATTAGTATGTTGTTTTTATGTCTAGCAAACTTGCTGGGACCTTATTGGTTCTAATAATTTGTATGTTGATTTTGTATGGTTTCTATCTTAACGTTCTTTTTTTCTATAAATAATGGTAGTTGCGTCTTTTTTCCCCCAACTTTATATCTCTTTCTACTTTTTCCACTTTTCAGGGCGCCTGGGTGGCTCAGTTGTTAAGAGTCTGCCTTCGGCTCAGGTCATGATCCCAGGGTCCTGGGGTCGAGCCCCACATCGGGCTCCCTGCTCAGCGGGAAGCCTGCTTCTTCCTCTCCCACTCCCCCTGCTTGTGTTCCTTCTCTCGCTGTCCCTCTCTGTCAAATAAATAAAATCTTTTATTTATTTGACAGAGAGGGAACACAAGCAGCGGCAGAGGCAGAGGGAGAAACAGGCTTCCCGCCGAGCAGAGAGCCCGATGTGGGGCTCGACCCCAGGACCCTGGGATCATGACCTGAGCCGAAGGCAGACTCTTAACGACTGAGCCACCCAGGCGCCCCTATAAATAAAATCTTAAAAAAAACAACAAAAACAGAAACATGATGGGGGCACCTGGGTGGCTCAGTCGGTTGAGCATCCAACTTGTGATTTTGGCTCAGATCATGATCTCATGGGTCGAGGGATTGAGCCCCACATCAGGCTCGGTGCTCAGTGGGGAGTCTGCTTGAGATTCTCTTTCCTTCTCCCTTTGCCCCTCCCCCCAATCACTCCCACTCCCTCTCTCGAATAAATATTTTTTTTTTAAAGATTTTATTTATTTGAGAGAGAGAGAATGAGAGATAGAGAGCACGAGAGGGAAGAGGGTCAGAGGGAGAAGCAGACTCCCCACTCCCCACTGACCGATCCCGGGACTCCAGGATCATGACCTGAGCCGAAGGCAGTCGCTCAACCAACTGAGCCACCCAGGCACCCTCGAATAAATAAATCTTTAAAAAAAAGCAGAAATGTGATGAGTGCCTAGCAATTAACTAGGGCAGCAGGAAGAGGGAAGAGTGTTTCTGGCAAAGACAACGGCTTATGGGGAGGCCTGGGATCTAGAGTGTGGTGTGTTGGAGATGTAGAGAGAGCCTGGGAGGAATGACAACACTGATGAGGAGCCAGGGCCTTGTAGACTACCTCAAGGAACTTCAATTTGGCCCTCATGGAAAGCCATCAAAAAGTTTTTAAGCAGAAGAGTGACAAGACTGGATTGATATATTGGGAAGATGCTCCCACTGCAACAGGATTAAGTTAGAGAAAAGCAGATAAATGCTGTAGGGTTATGGCTGGACTTGGGGATTGACTGGGTGTAGCTAGACTCGAAAGAGAAGAGTTAAGAAGTCAAGAACATTTGCATGTTTCTGGCCTGAAGGACTGGTTAGGTGGTGGTGCCACTTGCTGAAACAAGGAATACAGGAGGTAGATGGAGTTTAGTTTCAGAAATGTTGAGTTCGAAGTGCCTGCCTAGTAGAGACCTCCCACAGGCAGTTCTATTTACGGGCAAGCAGAGAAGTCTGGGCTAGAGGTAAAGTTTTGGAAGCCCTGAGTTGATAAATGGTGGCTGAAGTCAGTCACAGGCATTCATGAGATCGCTCAGGGGACAGTGTGTGTGGAGTGAGGAGAATGAGACGGTCAGAGAAGTCAAATATGGCGTCCTAACGCCCTGGGGCGGGCCCACAGCCATCTCTCAGAGAAACTTCCAGGCCCAGGATCCTGGGGCCACAGTGGAAATCCTAGGACGTTTTGACCCTCTTCAACCTTTCTTTTTGTCAGTTGCCAGATATAGACTCCGAATAGTTGAGCCACCAAAAGTACCCGTGGAGAAAACAGCCAGCCCTGGTAACGATGGTGAGTAGTGGGGGTGGGTTCTCCAGCATGGCCGCGCGGCCCAGGCCCCCCGCCCCTCCCCGAGCCAGTGAGCTATGGTGCACAACCTCCTTTCTTTCCACACAGGCCCAGCCCTTGAGCCCAACCTGTGGATGTGGGTAAACCCCAACATCGTGTTTCCCCCTGGAAAGCTGGAAGTCCCAGAACCTCGTAAGTGGGAGGAGCTGCCAAGCACGCTCCCCTCCCCTCAGCTGCCCCCAAAAGAGGAAGACTTCGCCAACTGCTCCTCGGAGGCCACAGCGCCGGGGTCAGAGTCGCTGCCTTCCTCCAGCGAGCAGTCTCCCCCTCGGAAGCGGAAGCGGTTTGCCTCTTCCCCCAGCCCCTGGGAGGTAGGAATTTCTGGGCCCGTGGGCTGGACTTGGGCTGTAGGCAGGGCTGTAGGCAGGGCTGTTTGCTTAGGGCTAACCAAGGGTGAATGGGTTCAGAAATTAGCTGTGCGCCCTTGGGTTGGGAAGAAGCCCAGGTGGTGGCCCAGACCACCCCCGCCCCTGCCACCGCACCCCGTGGAGTAGAGGTGGTGGAGTTAGGACCAGTTCCTACTCTGTGCTCCTCTAGCTCACAGAAGAGGAGGAGGCTGAGGACCAGGATGACAGCTCCTCTGTGGCTCTCCCGTCCCCTCACAAAAGGGCCCCCCTCCAGAGTCGGAGGCTCCGGCAAGCCAACAGCCAGGAGGGGAGGCTCTGGTCCCGGCCCCCCCTCAATTACTTCCACCTAATTGCACTGGCATTAAGAAACAGTTCCCCCTGTGGCCTCAACGTGCAACAGATCTACAGTTTCACTCGGTATGTGCCACTGGGGGTCCTGTGAGGAGGGGGAGGGGAGGGGGCCAGGGCCAGTCTGCCCGTGGCCCTGGGCTGCTGCCTTGGTTTACCGTGTGGGTCTGAAAGGATAAGTGTGTTCCCAGGCCTCCTTTCCCAGGCACTGCATCCAGGGTGTCCCCAAATGTGTGTCCACGTATCCCGTGTGCCGGAAGATATCCACATCCACTCCCTTCCACATCTAAAAGAATCCAACCGTTTTAAGATTTTATTTATTTATTTGAGAGAGAGAGAGAGAGCACAAGCAGGGGGAGCAGCAGAGGGAGAGGGAGAAGCAGGCTTCCCGCAGAGCAGGGAGCCCGATGCGGGGCTCGATCCCAGGACCCTGGGATCATGACCTGAGCCGAAGGCAGACGCTTCATGACTGAGCCACCCAGGCGCCCCTGTATCTTAGTTCTTTAAAACATAAATTCACCTGGGTCAGAAATTCTCCCATCCTCCCTGTCAGGATTTTCCAGTAGAAAGTCTGGTTTCCCCAGCAGTTTCTCACATGCTTTCCCTTTGGGCTGGACTGCCGGCCACAGCTCCCGGCACCCCCAGGGGCCAGGGGTGCCCAGTTGAGAAGGGATTTACATTTGCCTCTGAGAGTCGTGTGCCCATGGGTGTGAGGAGCTTCTCCGACCTTTTCCCTCCAGCAGGAGAATCTCAGAATGTTGATCCACAAGTGGTGTCCTTCCTTGACCAGGATTCCTCTTGCAGGAGTTGGTTAGCCTGATTCTGCTCTGTTTGCGTCGCAAGTCACAGTCTTGAGCCCTCAGAGGGAAGGAGGAAAATGAGCCCGGGAATGGGAACAATAAACTGGGTTTAAAAGATGAGGGTTTGCACAAGCAACGCACCAGGTGGGGTTTTGCCACGGGTTCCACCAGCAAAGAGCTGTTCTTCTAGGCCAGCTTGCCATTCTCCACCGTGAGAGAGGGGCCGGGGCTCCTGGGCCCTGGGGGAGAACAAGAGCATCAAGATAGCGCCTCTCCCAAAGAAACTGTGCCTTTCCTGACATTCCTCCCTGTCCACAGACAACATTTCCCCTTTTTCCGGACGGCCCCGGAAGGCTGGAAGAATACTATCCGGCACAATCTCTGTTTCCGAGACAGCTTTGAGAAAGTGCCGGTCAGCATGCAGGTTGGGGCCAGCGCGCGGCCCCGCTCCTGCCTCTGGAAGTTGACCGAGGAGGGACACCGCCGCTTTGCGGAGGAGGCCCGCACCCTGGCCTCCACGCGTCTGGAAAGTATCCAGCAGTGCATGAGCCAGCCAGGTGAGAGGTCCTGTCACGCAAGGGGCTCAGGGGAGGGGACCTGGCCATCCTGATGAGAGGCTGAGTGTGCAGGGAGGGAGGCTGGGTCACGCCATGGGCGGGGCACCTTCTGTGGGGGCGGGGAGCATGGCAGTGGCCCGAGACCCTGGCGTGGCGTCTGCCTGAGGTGGGACCCCGCCCACACAGGCATGGCCTTGAGGTCCAGGGGGTGGATGGAAAAACCACTGAGGTGCAGTTGGCCTCACAGCCCGCAGCCTGGGGAAATGGTGGCCACGCTGCGAGAGAAGCATGGTATGAGGGGTCATGTGCAAAGGAGGCTTTTTCTTTTTCTGGAGACCTGGTGGCATATGGGCCTTGAGGGAGAAGAAGTAGATCATCTGCTGTGAGATGATCCGGGCTGAGGGAACAGCAGCTGCAGAGGGCAGGGAGATTCCGTTGACTCTTTTTTTCTTACAGATGTGATGCCCTTCCTCTTTGACCTTTAAATCCAAGAAGCAGGAGTCAGCCCATCCCTTATTAAAGTTACCTGCAGCAGCCTGGTGTGTGTGTGTGTGTGTGTGTGTGTGTGTGTAGGACCGTGTGTGTGTGTGTGTGTAGGACCCTGTGTGTGTAGGACTGTGTGTGTGTGTGTGTGTATGTGTAGGAAGAGACAAAAAAGTGGGTGATTTAAGGGTGATTAATGGTCTCTGAGGA